AAGTTCATAAACAGTTAGCCAACCTAAAGTGTTAAATAAAGGCATTGAAGGTGTATCATATTTTTCATTTAAAATAATCCTAGCCGCTCGTTTTTGTAATTTGTAGACTCTATCCACGTGCGTTTGAGGACAGTTGCCCCAAATGGACAGACAATATAAAATTGATGGTAGAATAAAAGCATTATAAAATAGTTTTCTAGTATGCATTGGAAGAAACTTTTTGATTTTTCGTAAAGTGAATATCTTATATGTAAGAGTTTTGCAAACTGCATCTACATGACAAGTATATTGTAGATTATGATCGATGTGAATGCCTAATAATTTGTGCATTTCTACATTTTCAAGAGTATGTCCGGAAAGTTGTAAATGAAAATTAACATTTTCTAATTTAGATTTCTTTTGTTGTGTTCCCATTAACATACACTTTGTTTTATCAGTATTTATAATCATCTGATTTTGTTGGCACCATTTTTGTAGTTGATTGAGTTCATGATTTAGAGTTGATTCAATATGTGAAATACTATTGCCATGAAAATGCATTGTAGTGTCATCAGCAAACATATCAATATTACAATGTTCAACACATAATGGTAAATCATTAATATACAATAGAAACAACAAAGGACCTAAAATAGAGCCCTGTGGCACACCTGCTGTGACTGGCAGTGATTCAGATATGTATGCACCAATTTTTACACTTTGTGTTCGATCATATAAGTATGATTGAAACCATTTAATTGATATTGGATCGAAATGATAGCATTTAAGTTTTCTAATTAGTATATCGTGATTAACAAGATCAAATGCTTTGCTAAAGTCCAAATAAGTAATGCCAACAAAATTTCCTTGATCTATTGCATGCAGCCAATTATCGGTTAGTTTTGTGAGTGCTGTCTGACATGAATGAAATTCTCTAAATCCAGATTGTGCTTTCATTAGTAAATCAAAGTGAGATGTAAAAATACGTATATTTTCTGCTACATGCTTCTCTAAAATTTTCGACATAGTTGGTAAAATTGAGATTGGGCGATAGTTTCCTGCGTCTGATTTATTGCCCTTTTTGAACAGGGGAGTTACTTTTGCAACTTTTAACTGTGAAGGAAAAGCTCCTTTGATTATGCTAGAATTTATTAGGTGTGTTAGTGGTTTAGATATTACACAGGCTGAAAGTTTAAGCAATCTAGGTCCAAGAAAGTCTATGCCAGCAGATTTGTTTACATCTAGTCTTTTTAACATTTCAAATACCTTTTCTTCATTAATCAAGGGAATTTTAAAAAAGTCTTGATCTCCAAGTTTCGACTCCGTGTATCTTTTCAATTTGTCTGACTCAAATGTGGTAGACGAAAGATTATTTAACAATTTCTTCGGAATTTGGGCAAAATGTTCATTAAAGGCATTTGCAATATCCTGTAAATTATCAAGATCTAAGCCGTTATATATTATATTGGAAGGATACAAGTTTTTGTCTGATTTTGAGGCCAGCTGATTTAAGTGACCCCACATTTCCTTTGAAGCAGAACTATTTTCAATTACTTCCTTATAATATGTAGATTTTGCATTGTTTATTAAATATGTGACTTTGTTCCTCCAAAGCTTAAAATTCTCCATGTCTCCCTGTTTATGATATTGATCTCGTAAATTCCTAGCATTATTTATTTCTGGAGTTAACCATTTAGTGCGGATTTCAGATTTCACACGCTTAGTTTTTACTTTTGCATGCTTATTGATTACAGCATTGAAAATATCATAAAAACAGTTTAAAATGTCATTAGGGTCATGCAGTAGAATTAATTCATCAAAATTTGCATTGTTTAAATCAAGCAAAAAATCTGTTTCATTAAAATTTTTGAAGTCACGATATTGTATTTCAGTATGTTTGCCTTTGCGTTGCATGCTGTTAGATCTTCGTGTGGCACATATACGATAATGATCAGACATCGCTACAGGGGGTACTGCTATTTGTAACACAATTGGACCATACCGTATATAAATTACATATTAACTTTTTAATATATGTTGTGTTTCTTATATTTGATTAATAAGGACATAAGTGTATAAGGCATAATAATCCTTATATGTCCTTGAGAGCCATTTAGGTTCATACGCACTTTATTTCTATTTACTAATTATGTGTTTAATGTAGTCAATATTGTTTTAAATATTAATGTGAATTATTATTGGTCAGTGTTGATGAATTATCAGAATTAAATCAAAGATCAATATCTGAACATTTACGTGGTCAGTATCCATTATTGGTATTTAATAATTAATTGAATTGGAAATGGCTTACTAACATTAACTGACCACTATCAATATTTTAATTGGACACTTGATTACTATCTACGATTAAATTGAACGGAACAATTCCATTAATGACTTAGAAACTTTCCAATAATTAATACCAGCCTGAGGATGATTTGAAATTTGAAGATATATATTCCAAAACTGGACAGGCGGAGATCTAGAAGAGAACAAGAACTTTAGACAAACGTTTCAGACGTACCACTATACGAACTTTGTGCCCCCCTGTACTAGTTACTAGTTTGGCATCCAGTGGATATTCGAAGTACTAACTCTATAATATTTTAACTGTACCAGTGCTGATAACATTGTTCTAACTTTATATGCATGACGTCTATATTGTGCAACAGTGACATAATAAATATATATATAGCCGTATCCAAAGACGTTGTGTTATAGACGTTCATTTGGTGCCGTGACCAGGATTTGGTTTGGTTTCGAACGGGTGACCACTGGAATTTGAAAACTGCAACTTCTCCTCCGTTCTGTAAGTATTTATTTTCTCTGCCATAATCTCTTGTAAAAATGTCTGAGCAAGAATTTATAACTGCTGTAAAGGGTCTTTCAATAAAGATGGACAGTTTAAATCAAAATTTGGGAACTAATCAAATTACACCTTTTGATGGGGATCCAAAATTATTTAAGAGATGGATTAAAGCGATTGAAAAACATGCTTTTCTGGAGGGGGTTCCTGCTGAAAATGTAAAAATGAAAGCTTTCAAAACTAGTACAGGGGCGGTCAGTGATTTTATTCAAAGGTATTTCAAGGCAAATCAGAGGGTAGAATGGGATACTCTCAAGGCAGAACTCTCCATGAGATTTGCAGAAATTACAGATTCGCAGCATGCTTTTATGCTGCTGAGACAAGTTAAGCAAGAAAAATTTGAAAATGTACAGATCTTTGCTGAACGGTTGCTCTCCATAGCGGAGGAGGCATATCAAGGTGCTCAAGATATGCGAGTCACAGAAAACCAACTTGTTGGGTTCTTTGTCGATGGTCTGTATTCAGACAGATTAAAAATAAAGGTCATGCGAGATAATCCTGCTACCATGCAGGATGCAATAAATTCTGCAAGAGCCGAATTTAATTTGCAACAAAGGTTTCAATTAAGAACTGGGAGAAATTATTTTGCCCCGGCAACCTTTACGGGAGAACCGATGGAGGTTGACCATTATAGGTATAAGAGGGGAAACAGACATAACGAAGGACAACAACCAAGACAGTTTGGCAAAAAGACATACACCCCGAAGAAAGTTTTAGCAGTTGAGACAAAACGACCTCGCAGTGAAGTTGTATGTTGGACCTGTAATAAAAGAGGACACTACAGTCCTGAATGTCCAAATAAAAAGAGAAAAATTGAAGCTATTAAAGCCCTACCAGCAGGGGCTGAAGAAGAAAATTGGGAAGAGTTAAACTAAGAAGCTCCGCCCAAAATGGGACCTTTGGGGGGAGCTATATAAAGAAAAAGAAATATTTAAAGAAAAAGAAAATTTTTGAAAATGTTAAAAATCTCCCCACTTTGACTGTTAATTCAATAGAAAATCCAAATTCATGTATTATCAAAATTGGAAAAAGAAGATTTAGACCTCTAATAGATACAGGCGCCGCTGTTTCATTGGTTAGTTCAAATGTTTATTGGTCCCTTTCTAATCCTTTTAAACTTTCAAAACCAAAAGTGAATTTGAAATCTGTAAATGGCGCTGATTTGAAAATTGAAGGTTGTACTCAAATTGAATTTGTTGTAGGAGGTCTCACAATGTCTCATCAATTTTTTGTTGTTCAAAATATAAACAGGTCTTTTATTTTGGGTAGAGACTGGTTAGTCCAAAATGGTGTCAGACTTTATTTTGATCTTGGCAGTTTACGTATTGGTAAAACATATGTTCCAATGGTTGAAGATGTTCACATTGCATCAATTTTGAGAGCTTCAAAGAAAACTATTTTAAAACCTCAATCCGCGACAGTTTGTTTTGCAAAACATAAAGATCACTCAAATTTTCAAAACAAAGTTGTTGAAGTAAATGCATTAGATAAAGGTTTCATTAGTGACGAACCAGGTCTTATGATAGGGAACATAATCGCGAAAACAAAATCATCGCGTAAAATACCAGTTTTGGTTGTGAATAACACCAATAAAACTTACAAACTCAAGAGAGGGTGCATTATTGGTCGAATAAATGTTGTAGATGATCAATCGATTAACATCTCGGTTCTTGATAAAAATAAAGAAAAAGAAAAAGAAATAAATGACCTGAAAGCAGAACTCAATGTCTCTCCAGAGCACAGAGGAATGATTGAAAAACTTTGCATGCAAAATAAAGATCTATTTGCCAAAACAGATGCAGACTTAGGGCATACTAATACGATCAAAATGAAAATAGATACAGGTGACCATTTACCAATTAAAATGAAACCGTATCGAACTCCGTTGAATAAACGAGTGATCGTAGATAAAGCAATCGATGAAATGTTAAGTGCAAACATAGTGCGGCGTTCAAAATCACCTTGGAGTTTCCCTATCGTGGTAGTAGATAAGAAAGATGGAACAAAACGTTTTTGTGTAGACTTTAGGCAACTAAATAAGATCACAAAAACAAATTCGTGGCCCTTGCCCTTGATTGATGATTTATTAGATCAGTTAGGAAAAACAAAATATTTTACATCATTGGATTTGAAGTCGGGTTATTGGCAAGTACTTATGGACGAAGCAGATAAAGAGAAAACAGCTTTTGTGTGTCACAGAGGTTTATTTGAATTTAATGTAATGCCTTTTGGCCTTTGCAATGCTCCACAAATATTTTCAGAACTCATGAGCACAGTACTAGCAGGGCTAGAATCATTTGCTTTGGCTTATTTAGACGATATTTTGATATTTTCAGAAACCATTCAAGATCATGAAAAACATATTCAAATTGTATTTGAACGACTTAAAGAGCATGGATTAAAATTGAAAGCCAAAAAGTGCAGTTTTGTTCAAGAGAAAACGCAGTATTTGGGGTTCATAATTGATAAAGAAGGAATAAGACCTGATCCAAATAAAGTAGCTGCAATTCGCACTTTACCTTCACCGAGTACTGTAAAAGAAATTCGCAGTTTTATCGGTATGTGTAGTTATTACCGTCGATTCATACCGAACTTTTCAAAGATCGCAGAACCCTTGGTATCATTAACAAAGAAATATGCAAGATTCAAATGGAATGACGATTGTCAAAAAGCTTTTGATTTCTTAAAAGAGAGTCTAACTAAAGTGCCACTTTTATCAATTCCCGATCCAAATAAAGAGTATATTCTCTACACGGATGCTTCTGATACAGCAATAGGCGCGTGTTTAGCCCAACCGTTAGATGAAAACGAACAGGAAAATGAAGTAAAAATATTGGGTATTAGAAATGAAAAACCTATTTGTTATCTTTCACATAAATTAAGTGACACCCAAACGCGATGGTCTACAGTAGAAAAAGAAGCTTATGCAATTCACTTTGCACTCCAGAAATTTGATCACTATTTGCATAATGCTAAATTTGTCATTCGAACTGATCACAAACCGTTAAAATACTTGTTAGAAGCTCCAATGAAAAATAAGAAATCCAGTTATGGGCTTTAGGTATCGCCGGATACAATTGTCAAATAGAATATATTCCGGGAACTGAAAATACTTGCGCAGATTTGCTATCTAGAACACCACAAACAAATGCGTTAATCCCATCTGAAAATGAAATCAAAAATGAACAGAATGAACCGGATGTGCACGAGAACTCTTTAGAAATCAATTTCATCAATTCAAACGCGATAAATCCCAAAGATTATGTACGTTATGACATAGATGAGCCTGACATTCCGTTTAAACCTCAAATCAAATTAAGTGAAAACACCGAAGTAAATGTAGCTGAAGAACAATCTAAAGATTCTGAAATAATTCGCATTGTCCGTCAATTGCAACAAGGCACGGCAAAGAAATCATTAAGTGATAAACATCTCATTATTGATGAAGTCTTGTATTATCTGTCGAATGCCGATAACGATCCGATCATAAGACTCTATGTGCCAGCGCATTATCGATTACCTGTAATTAAACAGTATCACGATGATAATGGTCATTTAGGAATCGACAAAACATTTGATGCGATCAGACAAAAGTATTACTGGCCTAATTTGTATAAAGAGTTGTATGACTATGTCGGTAAATGTGTAAAGTGCGCTACACGAAACCTTAAAAAAATAAAGCCGACTATTCAAGAAACAGATGTTCCGCCATTTCCATTTGCGAAAATTGGTTTAGATTTATCGGGTCCGTATCCGACATCATTATCGGGAAACAAATATATTGTCGGATTTGTGGATCTTTACTCTGGCTGGCCTGAAGCTTTTGCAGTCCCAGACAAAACCGCCGAAACTATCGCTCATTTGATCATTGAGGAAATATTTCCAAGGTTTGGTGCTCCCTTAGAAATTATAACTGACAATGGCACGGAAAATGAAAATAAGGTAGTTAGAGAAACGTTGAAAGAATTAAACATCTCGCATGTAAAAACATCATATTACCATCCTCAAAGTAATGCAAAAGTTGAAAGATTCCATCGAACACTTCATGATGTATTGGCTAAAAAGTTAGAAGACAATTTAACAACTTGGGATATTTTTCTCAATCAAACCTTAGCCGCAGTTCGATTTAACATCAATGAATCTTCATCTTTCTCTCCATTTTATTTACTTTATAATCGAGATGTAATTATGCCAATAGACAATATTCTGCAACCGCGCCGCAGATATATGGGAGAAGATCCGCATAAAATAGCGTTAGAACAACAGCATAAATCCTTTACAATGGTCCATAGAATTTTAAAACGATCTAAACGAAGACAAGCAAAATATGCAAACAGAAATGCGGTAGATGTAGAACTAAAGATCGGGGACCCAGTTTATTATAAAAATAATCAAAGACAGAGCAAGCTTCAATCTAAATGGAAACCATTCTATAGAATAATTGAGCAAATTTCGCCGGTAACATTTAAAATCAAAAGTCAGTTAGATGGAAAAGTGACGAAAGCGCATAAAGAATTACTGCGATTAGCGAAAATCGATGAATGGGAAATACCCCAAAATGATCAAGGAAGACCTCTTCGTAAAGCCGCCTATGTAATGCCCCCAGAATCGGAATCAGATGATAATAAATCAGACAATAACGTCTCTACGAACCAAGAGGTCGAAAATCAAAATGAAAATATAAAAGATGAAACTAACACCTTAAATGATGTTGTAAACCCAAACAGAGATTACATGTCAAACAATGAATCAGAAAATGTACCAATATCAATGAGTCATGATAGTGTAAGTAGTAATGACGAAGAAAATATACCACTTGCAAAATTAGCCCAAAGATATAGAAGGGAAAGAGAAAACTCTTCTTCTGAAGATGACATCCCGTTATATGAGCTTTCTAAACGTCTAAAACAAAACAATAATGACAGACAAATGACCGAATCAGAAAGTGACGATTCACTTATGGATATTAACGAATGTCAGATGAAGCGTAAAAAGACAATTAAGAAAAAACATAGAGGAAATAGAAATGATATTCGAACTCTCTTCAAAACTCTTTCAAAATTAATATAAGAGTATAAATGTCCGCAATTTTCTATTCCTTACTGCATCAAGCAAATTTCGCTTTCGTGTCTTGGTTATAGTAAGGAACTGAAAGCTGAAAGTATAAAGGTATACAAAACCACAGTTGAAATGCAAGACAAACTGAAAAAGAAAAAAAAAATCTGTAAAATAATTGTTATATTAAAATGATATTGTTGTTAAATAAATTAATGATGGACATTGGATTGTGTTTACCCAAACTGAACTGCCATTGTATATGAAAGATTTTATTGTTAGACCTCCTATTCAAATTCTGATATTAGAATAAAAAAATACCTGCTAAATTACAAGACCTTGAGACAGTACCAATGGACAGACTGGTTAATGAATTTACAAGTATTGACTCTGTTAATCCTCTAACTAATGGGGGTTGGCCAAATTGGGTTTATTCTATCTTAATAATCAGCATCGCTTTAATCCTGGGGATTATAGTTCTTATCTATTATAAATGTAAAAGGCGTTGGTCAAGTAGATTTTGGCAAAAGGTTAAGAAAGCAGGCGGAGAGAGAGAACAACTCAAATTGGTGGCGATTAAATCCCCTAGTGAAGATAACACTAGCAGACACAATAAGGCATCTGCACCATCACCAACTACTGCTTTCATCGCTGGAGTTGACCCTGTCGACACCATTACGAAACTATATCCGAAGCTAAGGACGGATGTATTAACAGCGAAAACCGATGACCCCGCTGCATTGTAAATAAACAATTATGTAAGTCGATCCCTCTTTCGAACAAGAGCCGAGGATCGTGAATATTGGACAGTCTGTTGATTTCGAGACAAATGTTTAATAAAACATACAATTTCTGTGTTGTTCGTATTCCAGTTGGAGGAAGACTTTATTGTCTCGTAACCTATGTGTTGTTACTATTTACACATTTTTTTTATATTACTTCTCGTCCAACCTGATGAGAATTATATTATGCCGATACTTACAAACCAAATAGACATGAATTACCATGGAAAAATACACAAGTTCCAATTCGATCAACTATGAATTAAACTAATTCATCTCTTGTGAGGGAGGAATGTAACACAATTGGACCATACCGTATATAAATTACATATTAACTTTTTAATATATGTTGTGTTTCTTATATTTGATTAATAAGGACATAAGTGTATAAGGCATAATAATCCTTATATGTCCTTGAGAGCCATTTAGGTTCATACGCACTTTATTTCTATTTACTAATTATGTGTTTAATGTAGTCAATATTGTTTTAAATATTAATGTGAATTATTATTGGTCAGTGTTGATGAATTATCAGAATTAAATCAAAGATCAATATCTGAACATTTACGTGGTCAGTATCCATTATTGGTATTTAATAATTAATTGAATTGGAAATGGCTTACTAACATTAACTGACCACAATCAATATTTTAATTGGACACTTGATTACTATCTAAGATTAAATTGAACGGAACAATTCCATTAATGACTTAGAAACTTTCCAATAATTAATACCAGCCTGAGGATGATTTGAAATTTGAAGATATATATTCCAAAACTGGACAGGCGGAGATCTAGAAGAGAACAAGAACTTTAGACAAACGTTTCAGACGTACCACTATACGAACTTTGTGCCCCCCTGTACTAGTTACTAGTTTGGCATCCAGTGGATATTCGAAGTACTAACTCTATAATATTTTAACTGTACCAGTGCTGATAACATTGTTCTAACTTTATATGCATGACGTCTATATTGTGCAACAGTGACATAATAAATATATATATAACCGTATCCAAAGACGTTGTGTTATATATTTCACATATGTTAGCAGGGTGCGTAGTGTAGAAATGGTCAATAAGAGTTTTAGAGCTATTAGTAATTCTTGTTGGGGTGTTAATTAATTGTGTTAGTCCAAAATCTACAATTGCAGAAGACCAACTCCGAGGGGGTTCTTTGAGCATATCAATATTGAGATCACCTGCAATAATGACTTCCTGGTCATCACAGCAGGTAGCGCACTGTAACTCTTGGACAAAATCATCTACCCAGCAGGAGGGGGCAGATGGTGGACGGTAAACTGAACAATAAAGAATAGGTTTAGAATTTTTAAGATTAATGTCAAGCCACATTGTTTCAATATTGCTAATTTCCAAATCCTTACGGCGTTTATACTTTAATTCATTTGAAATAAATGTAACAAGTCCACCACCAGCCTTTCCTACTCGGTCTTTTCTTTCAAAACAACATCCCTTTATATTCATCATACAATCATTAATATTTTCATTAAGAAATGTTTCACATAAGGAAAATATAGCAATGTAAAGCTCATCTTGTAAATACAAAACCAATTCATCAAATTTTGGCAAAATATGACACACATTCAAATTGACAAAATGTAGACCCTTTTTCATTAAACCTAGATTTGATTTACATATATTTTGTTTTATTTTATTTTGAGTATCAGATTTTGGAGAAGAATTTTTAAGATTTGTTTGTTGAAGATTAGAAAAAGTGTTTACCTTATTCATACAAGTATCTATCAGTTCTGATGGAGAATTTAAATCAGTTGAACAATTACTAGATTTGTTTTGAGCATTTAAACATTTTTTGAAAATTTTAGGGTTAAACAAGTAGGGATTACATGTGCAATCAACATTGTTACAATCATCACACAAATTATATAATATTGAGTATTTATTGTTATTTACTGGGGAGAAAAAGTTATGCGAGACAATAAGATTGGTATTTTCGCGATTTTGTTTTACGGCGTTCCTTTCATTGCCGGTTTCCTAAAAGGAACAAAACTTTTGCTTATGCCCCATTTTTCCACATTGCCAACACGACACTTTTTTCCCATGTCGACAGTTCCGAGTTGTATGGCCCTCTTCTCCGCAAAAGAAACAAATACAATTCCTAACTGTAAATGAATCGTCATGGTTAATGTATTCCTTTTGTTTAAGAATAAGAACACACTGGTTGATGTTCTTTAATAATTCCGCTGTGCCTTTATCAGACAAGTGAATGCCGTCTTTCCAGTAGAGCTCATTTGCTTGATTTTTCCGGAAAGATTTGCTCATTGGGATAAGAGTAGCTCCGTACTCTTTGCACACATATCTAATAATTTCATTCACTTCACTCACATTTACATCTCTACGTGGTAAGACTTCGGAGAGGTACACTTGTATTCCCGGGTGCCGTTTTTGTAGATCCCAAATAATTTCCATGAAGTCATTTTCAGTGGATTCCACATCGCGGTTACTTGATACATCATTCCCACCCGCCTGAATGACAATATTACGGAAGGGCGACACATCCATTTTGGCCAATTTTGCTTTTATATGCGATACCTTGCCTCCTTTGTTTGTAAAAACTTTCACAGATTTATTTAATCCACGAGTTCTCACTCTTTGCAGGATTGAACTTCCAATTATGAGGGATGATCCACTTCGTAATTGTAGTTCTTCTTCATTTTTTGTTGTGTTTTGGGCTTTGGGTGTTTCCTCAACTAATTTTGCACGTTCTGTGGGGCATATATCTGTGTTTGTGCTCGTTTCAGTCATACTTTTAATGGTGTTGCACTGCACATGTCTAGAAATGCCGCTAGACAACGTTGTAAGCTTCTCTGTATATGTCTCCTTATGTTTGACTGCCAGTTTGTATGTTTGCGTACTGGCAGACATAGACGATTTGGTATCTTTACAGTTCAATTTCTCTTTTAGTTTTTCTACCTCAAGGGTGAGGAATTTAACAGTCTCAGTCAGCTGTTTTATCGTAGCTGCACTATTGCAGTTACTGCATTCACTGAGTTCATTGTTTTTGCATTTCTTATCGATAGCTTTTGGTGTTGAAGCTAACTGGGGCTGTGGCTGAGTAGATATTTAAGCGATGATAGGTTCCACAACATCTACAAGTTCTTGCAGGAATTTTTTGTACCAGGTGAAAGCAGCATCTCCTTGGATATGGAGAGAGTCTGTTGATTTGTAGAGCGTTACCGTTACAGATTTACAAGGAGTCTTATAAATCCATCCATTTCTGTTACTCCGATTGTAGAATATAAGGTTCTTCTGCAGGAGTCTTGATATTTTGGAATATCCCTCATTTTCAAAAGTAATTGTAACACTCTCATTGTTAAGCTTCACTTTTATATAATCTGGTATACTCACATCTTCTGGGGTCGATTCATTTTGACTGTTAACAAATGAACTTGAGAGTCCACTAAAAGAGTCCAGAATTGATCTAAAAAAACTTGTATTTTCACTAAGATCCATTTTTATCCATTGTGTAGTTATAATCTTTGATTTAAAAATCAGAGTAAATTGCACTTGCACGTACGTGCATGCATATACATAAAGACCATAACTTCTTGTTGGAGTCCATTATGCCTATCTATGTTATAAATCCGATCCTATTTGGTTGAAAAACAAAGGAGTTATAGCCATTTAAAGTTTTAGCCAATCAGACTGCTGTGCACATGCATGCAAGTGTTTTCATGATTATTGTTATATATCATATTGTAGGAAATTCTAAAGCATGAATATATTTTTAATTTCAAAGTATTTTGTCAAAAAGCAAAAAAGTTTTTAAGATTTTTATTTCAGCCAATGAGAGCTAAGCGAACGTGCATGCACGTGAGTTCGTTCTTTATAATTTGACAGTGTCATATTTTCTACACTATTAATTTATCCTTGTATAATATCCTTATGTAACAAGTTTCAAATCATTTCATCAAAATGTAAAAGTTTTAGCTAAAGTTTTAGCTATAATAAGTATATGTCATTTTACATGTTGCTCGTGC